GATTCACATTTTCGAGCTGATTTTTTTCCGTATATACAGTAGTGCTATACTGTATCTCACTTGCCGTCCTTGAAAAAGCGCGCGGCTTTCGCACACTCCGCCGAAAACTTCAGGGTTAGGCCGAGTAGCGAAATTTGGCTAGAAAGTAAAATCATTACGGATAATCGACTTTGTAGGGGGTTTGCTGTTGTATAAAGTGCAGGATAAAACCGGATACGGAGGCATTACATATTTAAATGTATGCGGTTTCCCGTGAACTTCGACCTCAGAGCCGAACTTCGTGAATATATTGAACCCATACTCCAGACGTCGAACTTGCAGCGGGATCCATGTGCTCGATGGGTGCGATATACACCGCAAGCGATGGGATCAATTTCTCTACGTTAATTTTTTTATATCCTCGCAGACTCGTGCACACTCCACCAAACATATATTCTTTTCTGCTGTTCTTTTCTTTCTTTCTTTCGGAAGGTGAGAGGTAGGCACATAGATAGGCTTTTTCGTGAAAACTACAGTGAGACCCCCACATGCGGACGCCTCGACCTGCGGACAATTCGACATAGGGACACTTATTTTCCCTGAAAAAATCAATAAATAAGGCCCAACATGAGGACACTGACTCGACATAGGGACATTTTGTGATAAAATTGCAAATACATTTCAGGCCAAATTACAAGAAACAGATATTTCCAACCCTAAATTGATGTGAGAAAAGTTCATGGGCATTTCTCTCACCAAATTACCATCCATTTAGCTAATTTAAAAAATTGCCTCCAGCGTAGAGGGACTTCTACGTTTTCACTTGAATGTTATTTTTTTAGATGCCAAAATTTCAGTTTACAGTACAGAGATGCACTATTCAATGCTCCAAGTGTTGTTATTGAGTTGAAACTGTATTCACTAATTCAAATTCAAGTGGCAAAAAAAATTTTTTTCCCAGGGAATTCTGAAGAATATTTCTTCTACAAAACACCAATTAAAAATTATGTATAATTTAACTCTATGGGAAAACAAGACTCGACTTTTACCGTTATGCTTCTCAACTGGGACTTGTCAATGGACAGGACATTCGACTTGGGGACACTCTTGATGCACCAATTACGTCCGCATCTCGGGGTCTCCCTGTATAAGGGGAACAAATCGAAAGGCAGTCGAGGTTCTTCTGTACAAAATTGTCGGTGAAAGACGTTACAGTATTTTCGTTTTCCTCGAGTTGTGTCTGGCGTGCTTACGGTTTGCACTTTTGCTGCTGTTTACTTCTAAGCAACAAGGCTAAAAAAGAAACCATTTGGATGGGCTTTTCTCTCGAAAAAGAAACGTAACATTCTGTGCGCAATGCTCTCGGATGGCGATGCTATCCTTTCGGGACGCGGTTCGACGTGATTTTTCTGGTTTATTCGTGGCTTGTGGCCAAGTTCTTGATGGAGAGGCTTGAAAGGATTCTTATGAGCAAAAAATGGGAGAGATTTGTCATGACGCCTTCTTTCTTAAAAATAAGTCGTCTAAAAAATAGTTACTGTACTGTCGAACGGGAAAATTGAGAGTTCTAGCAAAAAATTCCGGATTTTGGAACGGTGCCACAGTGCCACATTGTCTGACACTTTTTTTACAGTAAATAAAATTTGAACTCAAAGCGGCTGGAACCTTTCGTAGTGCAGTAGTTTTCCTTACGCACTGTGCATCTCTCGCGATCAGTCATAACATTAAGGCCGAAAGCCGCAAGTTTGATGTGCCATCCAACGCAAAACTTTGATTAATGATGCGAAGCGAGTTTTATCCGGCTCAGACTAAAGCTGGGATTCTCTGTGGTAGTCCATCTAGGACTAGTCTACTTGTCCATGGTCCGGACTGTGAGTTTCTTTAGCTGTTTTTCTTTGTACAGTACATGATTTCTCTGCCATGTTGTCAAATGCGTGTGCGCTTACGCTGCTCGAAGTACTTACTCAAGCAGTCACCAATCGCCTGATTCAAACCGTCGAGACCAGATCCCCAACGATTTATCAACTTGACGCCCTTTTCCCTCATTAATTTATAAAGAACTAATGAAGGATCTGGATTTTATAATGCATTTACTTGTCCGAACTCATTATCACCAAGGCGGAATGTGTGGTGTTGAATAGATTACGTCAAAACAATTCGACGATAAATGAGTACAGTATTTCGTTTGATTTGTTTGCCGAGCGTATTCGATTGATGAACAATTTTGAACCCATTTAAATTTGTCGGAATCTCGTGGATTCTCTGCTCTGGGGTTTTGATGATTTACTGTTTGCGGGGTTTCGTACTCGACGATGTAGCACAGGAATATTAATGTTGCACCGAAATCTTAGCATCGTGTTTTCTGGTCAGGTTTCTTCTCGGCATCCAGAGCTTCTCGAATAAGTTACTGTAAAACCGTACTGGTTTAATCTTGGAGTATGTGATGAAAATATCGTTGAAGTGCTTGGTAATTTCGAACATTTTTGATGCGATGATTAATTTTCAATATGTAATGGAGGAAGTCGCAGTCCTGCGTACGAACACGAAAAAACTTTCTCTCGTATTGTCATCCTTTCGCCCATCTCTTCTGCAATATCACACCCTCTGTATGCAGGAGTACCATTGAAGTAAAATTAAAAAAAAAAGAAACTTGAGATTGGTGGCTTTCAACTGGGGGTTGACTGTACTTCAACGGTATGCGAAAGGTATCTGATTTCGGGGCAAATTCCAAGTTTTCACTCGATATTTAAATTGAAACTGGGGCAGTTACAACGTCCGGATTGTGGAAAACAATTTCAGGAGCTTTTCTCATTGCCCACACACGCACATATATGTACTGTACTATACAGTATCCAATGCAGTATATGTACAGTATTTTATTTTCCTTGTGTGTGTATTGTGGAAAATTCAATACACACATGCTTGATGTCTTGGCGGATGAAGAAAAAAAAAAGACGGTGCCTGAAACGTTTCCTTTTCCTTGAATACCGGACTTCGGAGTGATAAACTTCCGCAATCTCTTGCAAGGCCTCTGTGCGACAGAATATTTTAACCCAGGCCTTCTACAAGGACTGGAATACGTTACTTTCTTTTGAAAATTTTTGACGCACGCAGTTACGCTGAGACTTTTGCACGCATCAATCGAACTCGGAGATACCTGTCTGATGCTTTCTGCATCATCCCTTGTTCAAAATCAGTGAGTCTCGTTCCGAAATCATTTAGAAAACGCGAAACAATCCAGAAAATCCCTTCCGTTCTTCCTGTCATAGAAACTGTCGAAGTTACAAATGAATACAGTATGTGAAAAAAAAAATTTTTGAGCTGCGCGGGGAAGGCAGACGCGTCTCGTACGTACGGTGGATTTGAATTATATGTTGACATTTTTGCTATCGCAGTCCGACCCTCGTACTTCTTCGTAATCGGCTTTTTTGCTTAGCGCCATCGTAATTTTAGCCGGGAGGTAGAAATCAATTTCAATGAAAGATGGAGTGGCTGAATGAGGGATTGAGTTGGCAAATGAGAGCCTATAAACTGGTAGCTTGGCCTGAGCGATTCACATTTTCGAGCTGATTTTTTTCCGTATATACAGTAGTGCTATACTGTATCTCACTTGCCGTCCTTGAAAAAGCGCGCGGCTTTCGCACACTCCGCCGAAAACTTCAGGGTTAGGCCGAGTAGCGAAATTTGGCTAGAAAGTAAAATCATTACGGATAATCGACTTTGTAGGGGGTTTGCTGTTGTATAAAGTGCAGGATAAAACCGGATACGGAGGCATTACATATTTAAATGTATGCGGTTTCCCGTGAACTTCGACCTCAGAGCCGAACTTCGTGAATATATTGAACCCATACTCCAGACGTCGAACTTGCAGCGGGATCCATGTGCTCGATGGGTGCGATATACACCGCAAGCGATGGGATCAATTTCTCTACGTTAATTTTTTTATATCCTCGCAGACTCGTGCACACTCCACCAAACATATATTCTTTTCTGCTGTTCTTTTCTTTCTTTCTTTCGGAAGGTGAGAGGTAGGCACATAGATAGGCTTTTTCGTGAAAACTACAGTGAGACCCCCACATGCGGACGCCTCGACCTGCGGACAATTCGACATAGGGACACTTATTTTCCCTGAAAAAATCAATAAATAAGGCCCAACATGAGGACACTGACTCGACATAGGGACATTTTGTGATAAAATTGCAAATACATTTCAGGCCAAATTACAAGAAACAGATATTTCCAACCCTAAATTGATGTGAGAAAAGTTCATGGGCATTTCTCTCACCAAATTACCATCCATTTAGCTAATTTAAAAAATTGCCTCCAGCGTAGAGGGACTTCTACGTTTTCACTTGAATGTTATTTTTTTAGATGCCAAAATTTCAGTTTACAGTACAGAGATGCACTATTCAATGCTCCAAGTGTTGTTATTGAGTTGAAACTGTATTCACTAATTCAAATTCAAGTGGCAAATTTTTTTTTTCAGGGAATTCTGAAGAATATTTCTTCTACAAAACACCAATTAAAAATTATGTATAATGTAACTCTATGGGAAAACAAGACTCGACTTTTACCGTTATGCTTCTCCAACTGGGACTTGTCAATGGACAGGGCATTTCGACTTGGGGACACTCTTGATGCACCAATGACGTCCGCATCTCGGGGTCTCCCTGTATAAGGGGAACAAATCGAAAGGCAGTCGAGGTTCTTCTGTACAAAATTGTCGGTGAAAGACGTTACAGTATCTTCGTTTTCCTCGACTTGTGTCTGGCGTGCTTACGGTTTGCACTTTTGCTGCTGTTTACTTCTATATAAGCAACAAGGCTAAGGGAATTCGAAAGAAACCATTTGGATGGGCTTTTCTCTCGAAAAAGAAACGTAACATTCTGTGCGCAATGCTCTCGGATGGCGAAGCTATCCTTTCGGGACGCGGTTCGACGTGATTTTTCTGGTTTATTCGTGGCTTGTGGCCAAGTTCTTGATGGAGAGGCTTGAAAGGATTCTTATGAGCAAAAAATGGGAGAGATTTGTCATGACGCCCACCATTTAGAATTCATTATCATATCCTACTCTTAAAGCGCGGCGCTATTCTGTTCGCGTCAGCTTGGATAACAGTGGGCTCAGTTTCTTCCTAGAAAGGTTTATACACTTCTTTACAACTACCTTGTTTCCCCGAAAACATCTCCTATTCAGGTAGTGCGCGGATCTGACGAAATTTTCAGGCAATTCGCTTGTGCACTTCTTGAGCATTCTCAGAATATGTTCTGTACAGATACTGGAATGTATTCTGGAATCTTGATTATGGAAAGACTAACTTCAAATACTGTATGCAATATTCAAATGGGGCGTGTGTTCATGTGTGTACTGTATTAGAGATTTGGGCGTGTTGATGCCATTTCTGTTGAAACCGAAGTTTAAACTCTCCGTAGCACAATTTTGTTGCTCTAGGCTAATAAATGTGGATTGAAAGTTTTACAGAAAATAACACTGTGCGAGTACTGTATTTCAAGGTCGGCCATTTTTTCGGATTGCCTCCGGCTTTTTTCCTACCCATAAGCGATAAATAATAAAAAAGGGGAAATATGGATTCGGGTGACCGAAGAATGCAGCTTTCCTATCCCAGTTTCGCATACCCTTTGAATAATTTTTTTATTATTCATTTGCTTTTATTAATTTATTTCCGCTTCAAAAATCTTCAGAATGTTCAATCGATGCGAGCAGAAAAAAAATTCGCAATTATTTCCTCGAGTACCCGTGAAGCTGCGACATGAAAGCTTCAGTCCTCTGCTGGAAGCTGAATCTTTTATTTTTATTCTCGACATTTTGATGAGAGAGTCGGAGGGAATCCGGAGACATTCCCTCCGAAAGACCCTGAAATAGAACTCTCTGCAACAGCTGAGTGTTGTCGGACTAGTGTACAAATCATCTGAAGACCCTCGGAACTAACAAATAATGATCTCCCACGATCCCCTTCAGTCCCCATAGGAAACACATGGTAACATTCTCCTTGAGTTGATTTTTCAATTGCACATGCTACCATGTCAGTGCAAGTAAAACCAATAACTTTCCTTGGAAGAGCCTGGGCTAAACTTTTCTATACGCGCATTTTTCATCGCAAAAGCAACGGTTCCAAAGATGCTGTCCTTTTAAAAAACTCAGCTTTAATTATTTTGCCCACCCTGTTCGTCTATATTTTCTAGAACAGTGTTCCTCAACCCGTGGTCCGCGGACCGGCGCCGGTCCGCAGAAATTTTTTGCCGGTCCGCGGGAAATTTCTCCAGGCTGATGAATTTTCACTAGTAACAATGAAGGACGTTTCAGTATCTTTTTCTGTTTATTTGGGCATGACAATGGCAGTTGAAATTACTCATGAAAACTATATACAATATTGGCTTTTCTCCTAATAATACTTCGAACGAATTTTTATCTGATTTAATGAATTATTTTAATTTGTGAGTCTGAAAAAGCTTTCTTCAAGCCCACCTTTTCATTTTTTGAAAACATTCCACTGTGGCTGCTTCACTGGTTCCTGAATTAATTTTGCAAAAAATCATATGCTTTTCGAATACCTGTCTTTCAAGCAAAACTTTTTTGAGCATACAAAAATTTCATGAAACTTTGCCGGTCCGCAGAAAATGTTTTGGAAATTTTATGGTCCGCGGGACCAAAAAGGTTGGGGAACACTGGTCTAGAATGTATGCGATATTTTAGAAAATTGCATGCCTGCATTTTATTGTCTCAAGTCGTCAAGTACCCCTGCATACATTATCTGTAGTAAATTTGTTTCAACGACAAAAATACGGGTGCAGGTGGGGTCTCTGTGTGATCATGATCTCCATGACATCAATTTTTCACTGGCTTTGAAAGACCTACTCTATAAATTTTTCAAAAATTTCCTTTTTTAAAGAATGATGCAGTGATCTGAGAATCATGGTGTTGGGATTACTCTTATGTAAAACTTACCAGAATCCATTCCCTGCAGCACCTCATCTGCCGTTCGATTTCTGACAAAATGACTGCGAGTTGTTGCTTATAAAGACGTAAGACGTATTGAATAATGTTTCCGGCCTTGTAGATTAGAGTAATTCAAAACATAGACAGAATATTTCATCTCCAGAAGAAATTCCCGGAATAAAATTATAAATTGTGAGAGAGCGTGTTGCAACATTTTCTGGAAAAGACGGAAGTTGTCTTGATCTGTATACGCAGAAAGCCTGTCCATCCGACTCAGCAAAAGGATTAAATTGTCTTTCCCCGGTTCTTCTGTGACAGGCCGGACAAGGTAACCATCTCGGACATGTGGGTCTACGACGATACGAATCGAGACGTCTTCGAACGGGAGCCGTACGTCGCCACAGTCACCGCTGTCGATTCGAGTAAGAGGAAATGCATTTCTTTGGATCGGTCCTGGGCTAATGCTTTCCAGACTGATCAGGTGTCTCCTGAACGAGAGTCGATTCTGCGATTAATCATTTACAGAGATACCCCGGTTCACGCTCGTGACAATCCATACCAAGCCAGTGGATGCCGTGATGGAAGTCGACGCTCTGGCCGCCGTCGCCGACAGCATCCGCGGCTCTCCCCGTGCCGCGCAGGTAAGAACACATCTCATCCCGGGGTTATTAATGACTGCTCCTAATTTCCTCTGATGCATTTCTGGGTCTTTGCACTTACCGTGAACTTGTCTCGTTTTGAGGTCACGGGTTTTCTGCCTTACGGCGTATGGGATGCGGATTTCCGGCTACACCGAGTTTATGCGAGATCGACCCCCAGTAGTCGGATTTAGCAAAAATTAGTATGCAGTACAACTGTATTTCGAAGGCTTTTTTTGGAGTTAGCACCCTGGAGAAAATTGAAAGTGAATCGGAGCCAGCGATCCTGGACCATTATTTATCGTTTCTTGCCATAGCTACATTGATTCGAGATGTTGAGTGGATTTATTTAAATGGTATGCTTGTTTCAGAACGTTATGATTCTTGGAGATTATAACGCTGATTGCTCTTACGTGAGTAACAATGATTGGCCGAGCATTTCCTTGAGACAACGACCGGAATTTCGGTGGTGGATTTTAGATGATCAGGACACCACTGTGCGTGAGAGCACCCATTGCGCGTACGACAGGTACGACATTTGAGGCGTTCAACGACAAATTAAAATTGAAGTTATCTTCAATTTTTTCCCACGTCAGGATTGTTACCGTGGGACCTGATTTCGAGGACTTGATTAATCCGTCCTCCGTGATCATCCGCGACTTTACGACGGAGTTCGATTTTTCCGGAGATTTCACCCCCCTGAATGTATCGGATCATTTTCCGATCGAGCTCCGACTGGAGCCGGTTGCCAAGACGGGGGATTTCATCGAGCCGAAGATTTATGCTGCGGTGAAAAATTCGTCTGTCAGGAGGGAAAATATTGACGCTTTGCTTGGAGTCGAGCGGGAGCTGAGTGGAATTGGGCGCTTGGAACAGCAGCTCGATTCGAATGGAAACCTCGTCGCGGTACGTATAGGGCGATCCTCTCAATCCACTCAATTGTCGGACTCCGTTCTTTTTTCTTCAAGCTGCCGTATATAGCATATATATATATATATACAGTATATATATTTTGTTTTTCGTACTGGAGCAGAGCCAGAAGTAACGCAGTGGGGAATATTTGTCTTTGAGAGTCGGGGAGGACCTTCGCGATCTTTCGCACTATCTGCTGAGTACTTGGAAAATTTACATTGATATTCATTGAGCATGATTTGCAGGTCATTTTTGTTTCGAGACCCATTGAATCGACGACCGACCGCAAGCAAATTATCCTACGTTTGACACAGTTAGCGCCGTACATCGTGTCGCCGAAAGCCGTCAACTCCCTGGAAAAAAAGGTCAGTGCAAACAAGTTATTTCCGCCTTGAATTTGCGTTAGTCATTCGTGGCAATTCCAATGGATGCCCTGTACTTAGTTTTCGAAGCTGAAAAAACAAGGCCAAAGAGAAATTTCAACCGGAATTCAGCAGTCACATTCGCAAATTCTGTCGATCCGTTGCTCACCGAAACCAAAGAAGGAATCCTTTTGGATGTGCGGAATTTTTATTTCTGCATAACATGCTTGTTATGATGTTATTATGTTGTTTTGTTGTTTTGTTCACCGATATTCATCAGATATTCTTTTATATCTGTGCGAAGCTTTATAGTGAATCGGTTATTCATCTACGGTTTCAATATTTGAGATAGTTGGTTATGTAAAGCTTTGCGTGCCGTGCGAGGAATGGGTATAGCTTTGGATAGGATGTACTGTATTGGACTCATGACGAGTTTTGTACACAATGCCAGCAGATATTCATAAGGGGCATACTTTTTTTTATTATTCTCAATGTGCCCGGGATCGCTTCGAATTTGTTTTAGGACCGTGAGCGTGAATCGGTCGAGTGTTATTTTCCACCTTCCCGTGAAGAGGCGTTTGACTATACTGTACTGCATATTGTTTAACGATATTATTACATGAAAGACGATTTCGAAGCGGAAGTTTAGAAAGAATGACATCTGTTGCGCATAACTGAAACGTATTGTTTTAGTTTTTTATTATTTTGATAGGTGTCGTATGCATCGCTAGACGCATGCTCTTACCAACACCGTGGAATCTCAGCATATTTTTATTCAAATCCAGCAAAATGTTGAAACAGTGCTAGAACCAAACTGTACAGTTCATTCCGCAAAAGTAATTCAGTTCTGTTTCTGAAGAATAATTGACTCGAATCATAATCGCGCAAAGCGTACGTAAACCCATTCAAAAGCAGCACAGCAGCTATACCTGCTCTTCCAACGAAACGAGTACCGGACGATCGATATGAAGAAATGCCGGCGAATCTGCGTGAATTTCCGATTGAAACTGACCGACACAGCGTATCACATCACTTGACTATATCAATCCGATGTTTTTTCCACCCTTTTGTGGGCTGGTAATGCACAAAGAAGAAATACTCCGCGGAGATGCTCCTACAGGAGTTGCTCAATTATCGGATATCGAAGAGACATGTGTTCGGCTCCCTTGATGGGCAATCGATTTCGCACGTAATGATACACCATATCCGGTATGTTCGTGAAGGGTTTCGAAAACTCTCCCAGCACGTATTCTCCTTTTTTCTGCTCGCTGATCCTCATGTGCATGAATCCCCGAGGGCTCCTGCAAGGATCGAAACAGTGGTACTTCAAAACTAATCTGAATTCTAAAATGTTGAAAATATTACTTCAAGGACAAGGAAAATCCCTTTTGACTAGATTCCGAGTTGCGGACAAGAAAACTGCCTTCTTTCGTCATGCGAAGGAGATGCTCGGCATCTTTCCGTGATATGGCGCCATGAAACCACCTTGAAAGGGAAATCGCCATCATAAGCAAAGCATTTTTTCACACCCTCAAAAACATTCCCAAGGAAGCAATGAGTCCATTCAAAAAAGCAGTACTGCTTACGAGAATATCATCCATTAAAGAGACACTGGCAGTAAATACAGAACAGAACGGTAGAAGAAAAGGATTAAAGCGTCCCCACCAACACAAGTGTCGATTTCAACTTTCGTCACGCTTTAGTTTCGAAGGTGTTACCACGCTGCGATAAACAAACTTAACAACGCAAGAGAAAACATGGAATCTTAATTGCAGCTATCGTTATTTTTGGTGCCCATTATTGTCCATTTTGTTTTTAGCGTGAAAAATAAGGAAAAAGTTTGCGCAGCGTAGCACGTAAATCTCTGCGAAGAGTCGAAGATTACGTCGCCGCAATGCATACCCTTGTCTTTGAAGCGGTAAGTCGACATCAATATGTGGGAGCTCCTGGTTTCCAACCGAAAGCATCAAGTGAAGGTCGCTTCGACGTTGAGGTCTTCCAGGAGAAGCCCGATTCGATGACAGAATACCTTCCACTGAAACAAAGTCATAACAGGCGAATCAAGGTGACGAATTTCCGAACCACTTGACCAAGCTTGAAAATCCTTCGGGTTTTAATCAACTCAGGGATCTGTATAATAGTTCACTTTAATATCACATGGAATCACGCTATTCCGCTGAAATACAGGCACTGTAGTGAACCGATTTTTGGATGAAAATACTGATCACAGGAATCGCTTGTCAGTTTTTTTTTTTTTTTTTTTTCGTGTGGTCTACTGCAGAACTTTTCAGCACCCTTTTAAATTGGACCGCCGCAAGGTTTGGTATTTACGTTAGCGGCGGCCTGAAATCAAGTATGAGTTTTCTTCATTTAAATTTCGTGATTCCTCATATATGAGGAATTGAACTCAAAAAATTTGTTTTGAGCTCATACATACTTTACCAGGACTACTCTGTATGTGTTCTTGAGCCGGGTCGGTCTGCCTTACTTTTGCAGTTCTTCTTTTGGCAAGTCCTGATGTATAGTCAGATTTTAATTTTTTCTTGCGCATTGACAATAAAAAACTTGAAAAGCTCTGCCTCATATTCTACTGCACGAGCACGGAGGAATGATGGAAACGTACGATCAGCGGAGCTCTTGTGCTCGGGTTCATCAATGGTGGGGATGCTCTTCGCATATCGCTGCGACGGGGCGAGCATGCTGTCGCCGTCGTTCCACGAATGTCGCTTCATTTGTTCCAGCTTCCGCTGCAACTTGGGCATCTCGAACGGAAGTGCGGCAAGGTCGTCAAAGTTGATCTCGCCGCCACTGTCGCATCCGTGCGGAACGGCGGCGATCCACGTGTTTCGCTTGTGGTTCAGACATAAACTGGGACGCTCCCCGCATTGCTTCACTGCTGGCGGCGAAGGCTTCGAGTCGATATGAATTTCGGTCGCGTTTTGAATCGGAGAACCTCCATTCAAAACAGCTGCGTCAAGATGTCACACGCAGCGTCAGTCAAGTGCAACGAGTACAATTTCACTCCGCAAATTTATCCAAATCATCGCTCTCAATTACCCTTCGGAAAGGTTGGGACTTTTGAAGCTCGCTCTAAAAAAATGCATTGCCTGAATTTACACTTCTCATCCGATAACTTGAACAACGATCTCATGCAGCAGTTCAGAACTTATAGGAACCAATCAAAAAGTAAGTTTTAGCACCAATTGTGGCTCCGTTTGTCGAACGATCTTGTCCGAGTTCCGTGCAGCCTTAAATATTTTTCAAGCGGTCAGCTAGACGAAACAGATTTAAAGTGCTGATTTATAAATTAAATTAAACAGGTTTAATCGCGCCAAAAAATCGGGAAACTACTCATTGACAAAATCTTTCAATTTGTCCTACAGAAAACAGTTTGAGGGCGCCAAATCACAAAAGTATGGCAGCTGAGGAAATAATTCAAAATTTTTTTTAAAGCAAAAAGGCATCTTTAAACCATGCTGATTAACTACCTTCTTTCGGGAAAAATCATTCGAAAACGCAAAAATATTTCATACACCTGAAGCACAGCATTCAATCACTGTAAATAAGCTATTCAAGTGTTCGAACACATGTCCACCACGCACGAACACGGAGGGACGGCAGGTTAAAAAAAAACTATGTTTACAAAAATGCTCCAATCCAAGAACATGCATTTTCACAGTTTACTGCCTTAGGGGTCTTCGCGGAAGAACTGTTTGTAAAAAGAACTGGATTCCTGCATTAATTATTATTTTTCAAGTAAAACTTTGCGCACCTCGCTGGTTAAGATATGTTGAATAAACCCCAGACTGGTGAGTCCCGTTGTTGGAAGAAGATCCAGAGCTCCGGACGCTTTCCAGACTAGAAATCTGACTCGAGCTCCCGGACGAAGACGCCTCCGAGGTCAGGTAAGCCTGCGATGGGCCTTTCGGCGCCTCGAGGAACTTGGGCGGTTCAGTCGCGACGCATTCCGCCGTGTGACCGTTGCCAAAGGATGCAGAGCGAGCGAAAGAGTTGCACTTGACGCGGACGCCGGACACGGACGCCGTCGGGGAATCGCAGCATCCGTTAGATTTCATCACGTTCCGTGGGCTGCCGCACGTTTTCACCGGGGTGGACGAAGCCAGAGGAGGAATGGCGCCGTTCTTCGCGGTAGTCTGCTTCGTGAAGACGACTTCTTTTGACTCTGGTACAGCGTCCTGCAATTCATCACACTCCGACGTCAACTTACGAATTTCCTGCGTCGTTTAATTAGATTATGTTTCGCTCGCGGAATTCATCGACTATAGTTGTATACCGTCCGAAAACTCGAATGAAACGCCATATGCTGAGCGTCCAAATACAGTACTGTATTGTACAATATAACTTCAATTAAACGGGCTGATAATAATAAAATAACTGTGGCCAAAAAATGTATTTTTTCTCCCGCATTTTTCTGAAGCCCAGAAAAAATATCGTTTTTGGTGATTTAGGTTTTTTCTGATAATGGCTATTTGGATGTCATTGGTGACATCTATTTGAATTTTTGCAGTGCAATTTGAAGGTTTGCTGAAAGAGGGTGTTCTCTTTTGCGAACTTATTTTTGCTTGGGAACAGATTCTGCGCATTGGCCTTGTTTTTCTGGGGTAACAAATTCGTGTACTTACCAGAAATTTCTACTTCGTCATTTTCGGGGGGAATAATTGGGGGAATTTCCTACAGTTTTCGTGGGAAAATTGGCTATTTGGTTGTTGAAATGATTTTTCGAACAGGCCAGAAGTAAAAAGGTTTGGGAGAAGGAATATACTCCCTATTTTTGAGACTGTGGTTTGGAATGGGAAAGAAATAAGTGTACATTACGGAAATCAAGAAAAGCATTATTTTCACAAATATCATATTCCGACATTTTTTTCTGATACACTATTTAAAAAATAAGAAATAAAGGGATGTACAAACATGTCTCGATGATCTGACGTTACTGATATTCCCCGAAATCTCAAAAAGCAAAAGATTTTTCCATATGCCGTCAACTCTCGTTCGAAAATTACGTGATGTGTAATGTAAGTATAGACAGCCTCGATTTAGCGCCAATGGAAGATGGTGACTATAAATCGAGGGTATAATATACAAGGTATCATTATAATTGAGTTCAGGGGAAATTTTTGGCGTACATCAGGGTGACACTAAATCGAGGGTTGACCACTATACAGTACAAGATTCCCTTCTCGTGAGCTAGTTTTGAAATGTATGATGCATTCTAGCTTTCCGATGTTTTTGCTATTACTGTATAAAAATACATTAAAAATGAAGTTGTTCTGAGGCTAAGAGGCGGCTGAATTTAAAAGAACAAAATTCGCTTTAGTTCCTCAAAATGCTGGCAAGACTCGCAAGACCCAGCATTTTGGCACGGTCGATCAAATACACAGCTTATTGAAGCCTGTGTAATCAAGCTTATACATTATTGCGCTGTATTGTAAACCTCTGAAATGTGATTCATCATTTCTGGGATCTTAATATTGTACCAGCCCTCAATGCTCGAATACTTTCTGGGCAACCGATAAATATTCAAGTTTCTTGCCTGAACTAGAATTTCATTCGCTTTATAAGTTCGGGTTCCGAATATGGGATGAAACACAACGTTGAACTAAGAAGTAAACCTCTGCGATGCAAAATGACCTATCTTAAGTTAGATCTTTGTGATCAAGTGTCAGCGTCTGCATGGCTCAAACGTGCGGGAATCTTGCATTGTTAATTCACTTTGTCCCATGTTTAATGGCGAAGAAATAAAGCAAAAATTAACAGCAGTTCCTTCATTTTTGCGGATTTTTTCCCTTTTACAGCTACAGAAATTCTCCTGAGAACTGCTTGGGAAATGAGCGAGATGCGACAAAAAGCAGGTGAATCGTCCGCCGGGAAAAATGTGCTCGGATGGTTCCAGGGGCATGTTATGGAATAATGGGAAGTCTGCTCTTCCAGATGGTCCCAGAGGACACATTTCAAACGTCGGAGGTGTTACACGGGTGCATTAGCGAAAACGTTTTCCGAGAGAAAAGTGCTGACTTCTTTTGTTGTCGTTGTTTACCTTAGAAGGTTGTTGTTGTTGTTGCGTCGCGTGTCGGGAGCTGGAGAAGTAGTTCTTGCTCCTGACAACGTCCCCGTTGGGACAATACACTCGGCCGGGTTTGGCAGGGCTGAGGAACAGTCTCTTGGGGTGACTCTGTCGGAGCAGCAGGGACCGCAACCCGGGTTTCGTCGCCCTCCGTTGCGCGTCCTTGCCCGGCGGGGGAGTCTGGTTCGGGCCCTGGCCGCCGGACGCGTTGCACGCAAATGACTGGTCCGCTCCCTGACACGAGCCATCCGGGGCTCCAGGCACTCTGAAAACGCAGTAAACGTCGTCCTCCGGGTCCACGGTTTGACGGAAACACATGTTGGATCCCCTGGCGACTCCGTGCGGCAATGGCGGTTTCCCGATCAAATTCGGCACGAGGATCCCGTCGCTGGCTAAACACCAGCAGTTGTTGGCGCTTTCCGCACACCCGTTGCTGTGACACGGCACGGACAGCCTGGAGAAAGAACAGCGTAAAGAAACCCGTTTGAATAGTGGCCCGAACTGTTGAGCGGGCTTTAAACCAGCACGTGTTCACAAAACGTGACGCAATAATTCGCAGGTTCAAAACACACGGAGCACCGCAATGCAACGAGAAAGATATTGTACATTAATGGTGTTTGAGAAGCATAGAATTGTAATCATTCTCTCATAAAACCCTATGTTTGATATGCAAGTACTGTACGTCTTATTCAGTCATGTTTCCTTAAAAAGGAGACCAAATCATTAAATGAAATTGATTCGTACATACAAGTTGGCCCAGGTTTCGGGCCATCTTCAAAAAGCATCACAGTACCATACAGTGTCATTAACGCTAAAAAAAATGTAATGCTAGAAAAATTGTTTGTGCTCCAAGGGAAATTGGATTTACATTACAGTACATGATTCATAATTGTATTCTTTATCTCTCATACTATAATAACAACAACCATTTAAAAAGTTTATTAAAAAGCTAGAAAATGCTCGAAGTTTAAATATACTAATTATAGTCTATACATAAGAGTTTAAATAAGTTTTTGGAGTTTAAATAAGTTTTTGGAGTTTAAATAAGTTTTTGGAGTTTAAATAAGTTTTTGGAGTTAAAAATTTTTGTGGAGTTTAAAAACACATTTAAAGTCCAAATGTGAAGCAAAGACTGACCAGACCTCGAAGAAACACATACGTTAGGTATTTTTGAATGGCTCATCATTTTTCATAATATTGGAAGCATGGGTATTTGAAAATACGAACGAGAAAACGTGGAAAAAGATTTAAAATAATAAAATCTGCGTGCATCTCCCACTAATTAATTCAAAGTGGAGATACGCCAAGTGTTCCAGTTCAGATTATGACCGATGATGAATATTTTGTTGAATTTCCATTGAGGGCGAAAACACGAAATGCGGCAAGTTAATACTGAACTACTTTACATAATCGGCTATCATGAAAAAGAGCTCTATCTCTATGGCATCTGATATCGATTGATTTTTTTATTTTTTCCTCGGAAACTTTCTTCGGTCTTCTGCGCAGGCTGTATAGAGGACGTGCTATTCTGAGAAATGCGCCGTTTTGGGAAACGCTCAAAGAGCCAGTTATGGTTATTATGACATTATGTAAGGAAGAAAAAAACAATCTGGATTCCCAGCAGGCGTCGTGAATATTTACACTAGAGCGCTGTGACTGCGGTACAACGACGGATGACTGGTGTGAGATGACGGCTTGACATCTGCCGCGGCAGCTTGGCAGAAGCAGGGCAAATCGATAACGAATTCTCCTTCCTCGCAGCTGAGCTGATCGTCGTCGTCGGTCGACTCGCTCACACTCGTCGGCGGCGTGACCGCGACCCAGGTCACGTTCTCGTAGAAGGGCACGCCCGGGGTGCAACCCGGCTCTCGGTTTCCCACGTCGCTCCCGTCGATTCGGGCCTGGAGTCTCTTCTGGAACACGTGCGCGGTACTCGGCGACAAGCGGATCCCGACTTTCCTCTCGAACTCGCCCGAAGGTTTACCCCGGTTACACGACTGGACTTCGATCCTGACGCAGTTCTCCTTTCCTTTGCCGGCACTTGATAAGCACGTCTCTGTGAGAAAATGAGTCGCTTAGTTCGGGGCCTTTTTCGACCGGTACGTGGCACGCCAGCTTTGCTTAGCGTTGTGAGTCAAAAGAGGGAAACTGTTCCATGAACTGAATGTCTTGCTTAACCCATCACGGCATTATGAAGAAGACAAAGCCAGAAGTTCGGGAAATAGGCTCGGGCGAAGGAGTCCGGAATAAATCCCTAGCAGTAAGCAAACGTAGTTGAACGCGCAGTTCGTGTTGCATGAACATGCGTAAATAAATTCAGAACCAATACTGCATGTCCTTAATTTGAGTTAAAGTCACAGGTGATATTGAGGAGATGGAACGAAACCACTGGCATGTCTTGCAAGCGGTGCAGTCTATAAAAAGTTTTAAAAGCTCTCTCTGTTCATCTATTTCTATGGATTCCGTGTGTTTTTTTCTGTTATCTGGAATTGAGCCCAACAAAAAAAAAAAAACGGAAAAACACAACGAGGGGAAATGAAACCCCCCTGTTTCGGCTGCCAGGCATTCCCCTTGGGCAACAGCCGGGAAAAAATCCGTTCCTCGAACTCCTCAAAAGGCGAACAAAAAAAGGGGCCGCCTGATGCTCTGAACGACGTCAACGTTATGCGCGACGTCGAGAGTAGAATAGAATTCCCGAAACCAATATCGCGTGGAGTTCGAGACGAACGGCTCCAGATATTATCCCCGCTCTCTCCCTCTCATCTTACCTCAACTGTTACCGCATAAAGTTGACAGAAACAAGACGATATTACATCAAGAGCCGCAGGATTCTCTCCTCGACGTGTGATCATTAGCATAAACCTCGAAGAAATTGCGTGATAATTCAAGAGGCGAGTTTTCGTGCGTCACAAATCCTGACGGGAAAACCCCGGGGTGTTCAATCGAATTCCTCCATGTGCAGCACGTGTGTGTCATGAGATTTACGAGCACACGTCCGTGTACTACCGGGGGTATGAAATTAAATTTATTAGGAGAACATTATTCGATTCATGCGTCAAAAAATGAACCCGCATGTACATTCGCGTGCATGCATTATGCAAACCGCGCGGGAAACGAAATGCACTTTCCAAATTGAGAAAAATTCAGCAACCCATTACGGACTTCCTGGTTTAATGAAGAACGTTTATTATTCTTTTTTCCCCACAAATCATGGTGGTAAAAGCTATGTGTTCGCAGTACTTGAGAAACATGCCCACAAGGTTCAAGTGTGCATAACTGATAACAGGTACAGTTCCCACATATCACAAAGTATTCGATTTAAATTAGAATATTCAAGAATCGGAAAGCATTTTCTGGATCTTTTCAGGTATTCTTTGTTTTTAATTTTCGCAAACTCGATTTTGCCCCTATGAATCATAGAAGGTAAAATCAGCGCCTGGTGCATTAGAAATTTAACGTCAATATGTGATTTCAAAGAAACACTTGATTTAGGAATTCCTTCAAGATGTTGGTACATCAGGGTGGCCACAAAAAAAGACCTGAAACTTTTAAATTAGAAACGTGAGATTTTCTTCAATTTTAGGCCCTGTGTTTCACTGAGACTGCCCTGTGGCAAAATACAAGAGGACTTCCCTAAATAAGATCTTGTCAACGCCAATATTTTATTTTTCAACAATTTTTTCTTGGTCACACAGAGTTCTCTCCCAATGCAATAAAGGTTCGCTGTAGATAGTCTAGAACGAAATTCTTCGTACTGCGAAGGGGTTTTTTTTCTGGTCTCTTGGATTTCGTTTTAGAGATAGTCCACCTGTATATGGGTAAATATTGGCCAATTTTTTCTTCATCATCCAAGGTACTAACATGAAGGGAAGATTAAAACGTGAAAGAGAGGAGGTACTCTGGACAAATCATTTCCAGCGATCAAACGAGCTAAATTTATCGCCTTCAAATGAAGTACAGTACAGTACTGTTACGCAGAAGTTGAAAAAAAGGACTGCGCGAGGATATTGGACAGCTCTCTCTCTCTCGCGATCGGTTTTTTCCTCACATGCACCCAGAGAACGAAAAACATCTCGGAACTGCCAACAAAAGTAAACTCCGTTTGCCCAGAGGCGTGACACGTAGGGTGACGCAAAAAACTTCGTCGGGCACTCGATGTTCGGAAATATCAAGTGCAGAAGGCGACAGCAAACATTCTTCCTTCTCGGAAGAAAGCAGAGTATACAGGGGAATGTCGCCACCGAGTCAACACCCAGCGTTACAGAAGGGCGATGTCAGCCAGCCATCGGGACGAATAAAAAATGCGTCTTCTATTCACGGTCTCGAATATTGGCTCGTGGGCTCGGGAAAAGTCCTTCGGGGACCCTCCGTTTTATTCCCGTTCACTTCGGAGAATCCCGGGAACTTTCATGGAGCAAAAGTGATGCCTTCAACAAGAGCTTGCAGGTCTCAATATTATCCCACCGCCGGAATGGACGAGACGATTGCAGTTTCCAAAAAATAAGTCATCCGAGTATGGACTCGCGATATGAAGCACACAATTTTTCTTAAAGATGCTCCCAAAATTCAGGAAATTAGAATACATTTTATGCTCGTTCTCTGTGGCGCCTTAGGTTCTCTAGTTATATGCAGGATTGTTCGCAATATTCTAGTAAATCTGAAGAATCTACAAAGAATTCCAGTGAGTAAAAATATGAGAAGGAAGGTCATTCAGTTGATTCAGCAACTATTACTCCTCCGAGTGGGTATAAAACGAACGAGATGTTCATTTTATTTTCTCAACATCACATAAAAATTCAGGGAAGTCATCAGGGCTTCCTTTCGGGTTATGTCTTATATTTGAGGGGAGTCCGAAAGAGGAAAACGTTTTTAAACTTCATTCCTTATTCGGGCATATTTTCGGTACGCGGTCCCATCACGACATTTCTGCATATGTAGCTGACAACTGTGCAGGGGACTGAGCACCTGCGTATGACTTCAACTTCTAATTAGTTTCTTAGCTTTACGTTTTCCTCGAATAACGAAGGCCGTCTATAGAGCTTTTCATTCTCACAAAGCCTACGACTGTAGAAACGCGACTCACGTCACTGCAAATATGCAAAAGGATGGTTATTCAAAGATTTCCGAATCCGCGGAATAAAAGCTGAAGTTTTTACTGAATAGAGATGACGCCATGGCTACTGCAATCAGTAAGCATCAAAGTGGGGCTAAATATATGCGATGCTTTTATTTTGGGTGATGAACGGCCTTCGCGAAGATGGATGTTCTTGATCACATTTTTGGGAATAAAAATGCTTTATCCGAAGCACGGAATTATTTTTCCCTATCATAGCCTTTAGCTGCTTCCAGCATAATTATGCAGTTGCGAAGGTCCGTACACGAGCGGGACAGTAACATGCCCTGATTCAAGGATACCCTTGCGGAGTTCAGAACAAAAACTTTATGAACTTTACCAGCGAAAAGACTGAATTCGTGAGAAGACGTGATTCATCATTCCTTGAGGAATTACTTCGCCGCGAAAAGGGTAGATTTTCTATGATCTCGATGTGAATGTGAATTATGGCTGGCAGTAGCAGATTGAAATACTGAAAAACCTCGATCATCTTGACTTCGATTAATCCTGCTTTTGCATCGCAGTCGAACAGAGGAAACTAAGGGTGCGTGTAATTGTAATTTGACTTCTAAGAAACACCTCCTAGATGGCACAAGAAGCCAGACAAGAAAAAAAGATCAAATATCGCGAGATATTCATAAATGTTCACGCGGCATTGGATTAATGTATTGCCTCTGAGATTTGCGGTGATACCAAATGAATAAAAGCGGTCATTCGCGAATATTTTTTAATCCTTTGACAATACATTTTAATTTGTACTAGGAGGGCTAAGGAGCATAATAATCAGCCCAAAAAGTCAAGGCTCAATCTCAACTTCGAAAATGACTGGCTGACGATCTTGAATTCAGCTGTACAGCAATATGCATGTATCAAGTTGAGCCCACACTGCGTTTCTCATCATGGATTCGACGAACTTTAGATTGGAACATGTCCCGTGATTGATTTTCAAAGCTCGAACTTTCCCAGGGCTGACGCGTCGCTGCAACTGCTCGGGCAAAGTGAGTCCTAAAATATCCTCTGCGTTTGATTCAAGGCTGAACCCGAAAGACCCACTGGATCAAACTAATGCTGCTTCGAAATGGGGGGGGGGGGGGGGGGGGTTCCCTAC